GAGCTCATAGATCTAGAGCTTCACAGTTCTGGATTACCAGAGCTGGCATCAGTTTAGCTCTGGTGTGGAACCCAGGGAAGATGGCATATGGAAGGAACACTTGCAAAGGTGAAAAGAGCACATGAAGAGACAGGAAGCAAAAACCACAGAGGAGGCCCATAATAAACTTGTACTAGGCCCCTGTTATACCTTGGGTCTCAAATACTACACAAAGGCCCAGGGTTAAGGTCTTGCTTGCTCTCTTTTTGAGAGATGGTGGGAGATTTAGAAGGTGGAACCTATTGGGAGGTCTTTAGGTCACTAGGGGTACACTTGGACAGGGTTGGTGAGACTGGTCTTTACATTTTTCTCTTTATTCACTGGTAATTTGGTGAGCAGCTTTACTGGACTATGCACTTCCATCGTGATGAGTTGCATCATGCAGGTCCAAAAGCAATGGGATTGACCAGCCATAGACTGGAACCTCCAAAAACTACAAGCCAAAATAAGCCTTTACTTTTACAAGTTGATTATCTTGAGTATTTATTCTAGTGATAGAAAGCTGGCTATTGCAGTTCCACCTCTGAGAGGTTCAAAGTATGTCTACATGACCATGTTGAGGGAGGACCAAACACATCTTTGGAGGATAAACCATATCCACACTATGGAAACATATGCAAGATGTTCTGCCCAAGAGGCTATGACCAAGTGTGATTAGAAACTCAAAGATTTTTCCCCTTGCCTACCTCTGCATGTTAAAATGGGCTGTCCACAGATGTCACATCAGCCAAATGTGGTGTGCCCTTTTCACCCTCATGTGTGCACACATAGCTTCACCCTTTTGGTAATAGAAGCTTTCCTTTTCTTGCCCCTTCCTATCTAGACCTAGATAACCCCTCTGTGTTTGAAGACTTGTTCATGCATCATCCCTACAGTCTTCCCTAACTCCCCAAACTCAATTAACCCCTACCCATATGCCCTATTTTTGCGTTTCTTATTATTCCATGATTTTACTCCTTCTTATGGATCACATAATTGAGTATTATTTTTTCTCATTTACCTCAATTGGGATGAAATTTTCTTCTTATTTTTATTTTTTTTAATTTATTTATTTATTTATTTGAGAGAGAGAGAGAGAGAGAGAGAGAGAGAGAGTGTGTGGTGTGTGTGTGTGTGTGGCCAGCTCAGCCCACCAGGGGGCGAGGCTGGCTGGCATGTGGTGCTGGGGGATTGAACCGCGGTCCCCGATGCCTTGCTAAGCTTGTTCTAAGTAGGTGCTTTAGACCACTGAGCCATCTCTCCAGCCCCTGAAATTTTCTTCTTAACAGGGTCTAGTTCTTTCCACTATATGTCTAAGTCACATGTGTAGGTTTGGAAAGCAATCCAGAGAAATAACTGATATCAATAAAGCTTCAAATCCACGTTTGAGGCAAGTAGAACCTCAAACCTAGATGCTCTGCCATTATGTTGGTAGAATTCACTGAGGGTTTGAAAGTAAAATGCACTTTTAAAAGAGCCTAAAATTCAAAGCTGAATAGCATCAGTGAAAATATCCATCAGTTGATTTAAGTTTTTTTTTCTCTATTGAAAGCACAAGTCCTGCCCAGACAGTACAAGTTTCAGTGTACCAGAGAGTAAAATCTGTGTGTGGTAGCCATCTACTATTCAAATGTTTGGATTGCTTGTTCCTTTTAACATGTAAAACCATATTATTTCTGCTTTGAGTTTTAATGAGAGACAGTCTTAAAAATCTAAAGTAGCTTCTACAGACATCTCAAAGTTAATTTGGCTTAATACTTTTCTAGATATTGAAAAAGGAATATTTTACAAAATTAACGTTTCCTTCATAAGGCATGGTGATGTGATGTATGCTAATAATCCCAGCTATATAGGAGGAATACAAGTTTGAGGCCAGCCTGTGAAACTTAGAAATCCTGTTTCAAAATTATGGAAAAGAAAATGGCTTGGACTATAGCTCAGTGATAGAGCACTTGTATAACATATAAAGATCTTGAGTTCAATCCTCAGCCTTGCAAAACTTATTCTTCCATTATATGAATTAATATACTTTTTTTTGTAAACCAGTGCTACAAACATGGTAGGTTGTTTCTGCTACACCCAGTGATGTCAGCCCTGGGTTGGTTGTCAGCTTATGATGGTTGATTGTTACTCAACTCTTCTCCCAAACTTTCAGAGTAAAATAAATTGGAAAAAAAAAAAAACCATTAACTGTATCTTTCACTAGTCACCAAATCCAAGTTTAAAACACTTCATTTATATTACAATGAAACCAAAAAGAATATTATAGAACAATTAGCCCAACTTTCATTAATTAAATTAGAAACAGAGCACTGGGGTAGTGAATAGATTTTCTTTCTCACTGAAACACATTTAGATAATGACAAAACAAAATCTTCTCCCTACTATGAATAAGTATACTTTGCACTATGATGAGTGGCTGACTTGATCAGATTTCTCTGAACTGAATTTTGTTTCCAATGCAATCTACAAGTTACTATTTAACTGTCAATTGAGCTTTCTATTAAAAGCTGATTTGTTCTGTAATGCATACTTGTCCTAATCTACTTTATATGGATTCTAAGTACCTTTAAGCATTGGGACAGAACTGTAGTCCACTTGTTGCTTGGAGAAAAAAAAATGGAAAGATGGGAGGTGGTGTGGGTGAGTGGTAAGAGGCAGTAGAGAGCTGTGGGAAGCAAGTTTGAGGTCATTTATTTAAGCCTCACTATCCCCTTACAATGGAAAATCTCCACTCCTGTCCTTGGGTGGGTACTAAAGTTTCATAACTTCACAATTCCACATTTCAGAATATTCCTCTCAGGCAACATTGTATTTATACATACGATTTTATGTATAATGGTCACAGACTATGAAAAAGCATGTGATGACATATAGTAATTACAGTATTCTCCACATTCCAGGAAATTAAAAGATAAGTTTAATAAAAAAAAGGCATTGCTTCTTAGCCACTCTTGATATTCTGTACAAAGGTTCTTACACAGGAACATAAGGATTTTCAGTGTATTGAAAGACTCACAAAATGTAGAGATGGATACGTGGCTCTATGGTAGAGTGCTTGCCCAGCACACATGAAGTCCAGACTTTGACTTCCAGCACACATATGCACACATGTGCATACACACACACACACACACACACACACACACACACAGATTCACAAAGTGCATCAGTATCACTGTTGATATATAAGATACATAAAACAATAATAGAAATAAGTTTTAAAATGTACCATCCAATATGTTTTAGTAAACATTATGTGTATTTACAAGAATATATTGGACAAAATTAGTAACAATGTCAAATTCAACAAACATTTATTGATTACTTAAAAATGCTGAGTAATATGTCATAGGATCCCCAAATTCCTGCAAGACTGCTTTTATAAACACCCTAGAGTCAACTGTTCCTCAATCAATGAGTTAATGAGTATGAAACAATTTAAAATAAGTGGGCTAAACACAATCATAATTGTGAGAAAGTCAAGTTGCAATTTCTATAATTACAAAAATAGAAAAAGATATATCTTCTTATATTCAAAGAACTTTGGTTGAGTTTCAGCTCTTTGTGCCCTACTTATTTCTCAGGTTTTTGGCAGAGTGGGTGAAAGGGAGGGATAGTAATTAGTGGGCCCTAGCATTAAAATGCTTTCTCCTACCCATTGTCCAATGGTCAATATTGATCCCCTAGTTGCAATCCAACTATTACAACTTGACTTCCACTTGGATGTATCCTTTTATCTGCATCTCTTTAAATAATTTATACTTTAGCCATCATTGTAGACTTCATTTTCAATACACAGAAAACATTATTGCAAATAAGTACTGTGCTTTGTTGTCTTCTCAAAAATAATTGTAAAATTGTATCTGGGGTGGAAATTATCAAAAGGAAGGCTTGATTTTTAAAAGACAGAAGTCCTAGATTCATATTTATATTCACTAAATAATATAGCCTTCTTAGGAAAATATTACCAGTGCCTTTAAAATTAGAGTGAGGGTGTATGAGGATCATTTGATGAGTCAAACTAAATTTATTCAAATGCATTCTTAAGAAGAGAAGCACCTCTACATCTCTGCATCAGGTAAGGTCATTGAGTTAAATTTTCTAACAAGATGTTTGTTCTTCTGTTCACTATAGGTACTCAGCATTTTCTCCTGCACATCACTCCAACATTGTTAGCTAACAATCCCTGTGTTCACAGGCTTTTCTTGACTCATTGATATATAATGGAATCAAGGTACAGAAAGCAATGAGAAATCACATCTGCCTCACTACAAACCTGACTTCCTCCCTGGTCCCTGTTCATGAAGAAAGGTTACCATTTATATAGCTCTCCCAAATGTCCAACATTCTTCTGAGTGCTTCATGCACACAAAATTCACTTGATCCTCATAACCAGCCCACAAGGCAGATAGTCTTGGTGTCTCCAACTTACATTTAAGGAAACTGAGATATATAGAAGGTAAATAAATTGCCCATAGATTACAGGTAGTAAGTAATGGAGCCTGAACCCACAGCAGATGATTTGCTATTGGCATACATTCTTTATCATATCTTCTTTTTTTTTTTTTTTTTTTTTTTTTTACGGCATACGAGATGTTGCGGCGTGACTGGAGTTCAGACGTGTGCTCTTCCGATCCTGGAAGTGGTGGCCTCGCAGCTTTTCTGAAGAAAAATGGCAGAAGTGCTTTTTTTTTTTTTTTTTTTTTTTTTTTTTTTTTTACTCTGACTCAGCACTTGTAGAATAGGTACCTCCTTGGAGAAAATGATGTTCTAGACACTAAACAACATGTAAAATATTCCACCCCCAGCACCAGCTAGGATCTTCCAAAATCAGATAAAAAGCAATCCCTCGTCTACAATCATGCACCTTGTGAATCTCTGTTAAGTCACAAACCACAGTGCTGCTGTTATTTCTGGGCACCCTCCCTCAAGTAAAGACACAGCAAGCTTCATCTTCTACACTAAAATAATGTCCTCACCTTTCCAGGCATGAGTGGGGCAAAGCTGCAAGTCCTTTGCACATCTTGGTGAGTGGGTTAGCTCCTTAGCTTTAAACAAAACTTCTTAACAGCAAAAGCGGTCTTTGAAAAGTTCAAAACTGTCTGGGGCTCTCTTTCGTGCTGAGAAATATAAAGAGGCTCTTTTTCCAGCCCTCTGTGGCTTGCTGGACCAATCCGGAGCCTCGGAGCAAGTTGCAGGCTGGAGGCCAGCAGCAACATGTGTGAGGTGGAGGCTGGAATCCTCTCCATACTTGCAGCAGGCACTGTGTGAAGCTTTCCTGCTCTATCACAACACTGATGCTCATGTAGCCAGGGCAGGGTCAGGCCCTAAATTGTGCTCAGGCCCTTCTTGTCTGAACTCTGTAATCTCAAGCCAGTCAAAGCAAAGATGTAGGGTTTCTTAAAGAGCAAATTACCTCAAGAGCCTTCAGATCTGTCAAAATGATAGACAAGGACTCATGGAGATCATACAGCTAAGCTTTCTTTCACAGTGAAAGAAAGTGTGTGCGTCCTTCAAGGTGGAGGGAATGTGCACCTGAGTATATACCGTGTGCCAGGACTCTGTTGCAAGGAGTTAGAATAAACGTTAGAATAAATGGTTTCTTATATGAGAAATCCAAAGTGAAAATAATTTAAAAAGTAAAATAAAAAGAAAGATTATGGGAAATAGGGATAGAGACTTTGTGGAGGTAGGAAGGGCCTCTTGAGATGGCAGGGAGGGGAAGGGAATGGAAACTAACAAGCATTAAGATGTGATACATACATGTACCAATCCTCTACCATTGATGTCTGTGTTATGTATCAAAGACAAGTACTAATAAAAACATTAAATAAAGAAATCTCGGGGCCAGGGAGATGGCTCAGTAGAATAAGAGCTTGCCTGGCAAGCACAAGGGCCTGAGTTCAATCCCCAGTTCTGCCAAAAAAAAAAAAAAAAAAAAAAAAAAGAAAAAAGAAAAGAAATCTCTCTGTTTTTGTGACACAAACATTTCTACCAATACGATGTCAGTAAGCAAGGTGAGAAGAGGGCTAGGTCCAGGGTGCTAGGAGCCTTCCAGGGACACTAGGCAAGGTTTTCCAGAGCTGAGCAACAGAGGAGACTAAAATCACCATCTTTATGAATCAAGACATACATAAATATTATACATGAATTCTTATGTGGTGGTATTAAACATGATCAAGAAAACCACACATAGAAATTTTAATAGGGAATGAGTGTAAAAAGAGGTGGCGGGGGGAGATGCTTCTGTGCACCATGTCTCAGCTCTCCTACTGTGACCAACAAGCCCAAGTGGACTTTTAAAACTTAGAATTTTTTTTTCTTTTAGAGACAAGCTGTGTCTCCAAACTTCCTTATGCCTGATATGTAACTGTCACCCCATCCTCTCCTCAGCCCAGAGGAAGGGACAGAATATGCAGGCCCCATGAGGTTGGTCTATTTCCTTTCCACAGGGAAGAGAAGGAGCAGGGAAGGCTGTGGAGGTGGGGGCACAGGGCATAAAACAAGAGTCAAATCATCTATTGGCTCACTGTTTCCCTCATTCCTCTCTTTCTTACTACAATAGATGCTTGCACACTGGGACACAGTGACATGGTGAACTCCTGTAATATGAGGCCACTCTCTCTCCACAGAGCTTCCCCTGAATAAATGAAACCCTTGGTTTCTGGGGGAAGTGGTGAGGTTACGGATCAGAGAAGGCAGTAACACTTTTCTGTAATTGTGATGAATCTGTACTTTGATGAGTAGGTTAGATAATTCCTTGGACATCCTCCTCTCCATGCACATATGCATTCTTGTGTATGTTCATCTCTCTTTCCCCTGCAAGCTTTCCTGCCTCTTATCACTCAAGGAGCATTTCCATCAAACTACCTGAATTGTGTCTCCTCTTACTGAGTGCCAAACTGTTGGCAAATTCATATGTCAAAGTGACAGATTAAGTTGGGGCCCAAGCTAAATATAAGCAGCTTCTCAGAATCTCTAAGAAAAAAATTAAATTTGGTATCAAAGATAATTCCCCTATTATCCAAATTATTCATTGTAAGTGACTACTTCCTCACATATCCTTTAGTTAAAACGGTTGATTAAGACCTGTTACTGACTTGTAAAGTAAATTCATTATATTCTGATCTGAAGTTTTAGATTAAATAGACACTTATTCAAAATACACAGCAGATCTCTGACTGTCTCCTAAAATTTAATCTGATAAAGTATTAAAAATCAAAATTGGCTGACTATAGTGATGCATTCCTGTCATCTCAACACTCTGGGAAGCAGAGGCAAAAGGACTACAAGTGTGCAGCAAGCCTGGCAAATTAGCCAAATAAAGAGACTCCATCTCAATATAAAACATAAAAAAACAGCTGGAGATGTAGCTTAGTAGAATGGTCTTGGGTTCATTGTCCCAGTACTGAAAAAAATTTTCAAAATTATATGAGAAAATAGATGAATCCAAAGTATAAAATTCAATAGCAATAGATACTTAGAGATAGGCCATCACCTTCCAAGTGATTTCAATCTGTTTATGGAAGGCCAATGGAGTGGCCAAGAGTGGTAGCTAATGGAACAAGGGAATGTCCCATCTGGGAGTTGAGCAGGAGGTGGGAAGTTTCAACAGAGGTTGAAAGCAGGAGGGAACTGTGGAGGTGGGAGGACTGCGAGGAGTGGGAGTAGTGGAAGTCTCCAGATGAAAGGCCTCCTGTTCAGAGAGTTACTTGGATTCACTTTGAATTTATTTTCTTAACCAAGTTATGTATAAATGTCTGAATTTTAACATATATATATATGTTAAAATTATATATATATATATGTTAAAATTATATATATATGTTAAAATTATATATATATGTTAAAATTATATATATATATATATATATATATATATATGTATGTATATTGAGATGCACTTTATAATTTCTGATCTGGGACCTTTGGGTTTCTGTGATTGACAGTAAACAGTCATTTCTACACAGTGGATCTCCCTAATTGCTGCAGAGATTTCCAGTAAGGCCAGACAGGAACACACAGAGTAAACAGAGGCAAGTCCTAGCCTTCATGTTTCTTCTTCTTTTTTTTTTATTATGATAAAATTTTAAAACCACAGAAAAGGTCAGTTTATGTACTACCAGGGTATACATAATCCCATCAGGTTATATTATTTGCTTCCAGTTTTTCATTTTTTAATCAAAGAAAAAGACTGAAGATAAACTAAGGTTCCTTATGAGGGGCTGAGGGTACAGCTCAGTAGCACAGCACCTGCCTGGCAAGCACAAGGTCCTGAGTTCGATCCCCATTACCGAAAATAAAACAAAATAAAAAATAAAAGTTCCTTACTAACAGCTCCTTTTTCCATTCTTTTTTTCACTCTCAGCAAACCCAGCCCTACCAGATTGTAATGTGTAGCCTTCCAGACTTTCTTTCATTATTTTCATACACAAATGGGCTATTTTCTGAATGTGTCCTCCAAAATACATGGTCAGGTTTTTGTTTTATTTTGAGTCTTGAACTCACTGGCCTCAAACTTACAGCAATCCTCCTGCCTCAGCCCCTGGGGCAGGGATCACAGGCATGCACCACCGTGCCTGGTGCATTTGTCGCATCTTAACTGCCAATAGTGACGGTATGAACAAGCAAGCAAGTAGCATCTTGAATGCAAATGATGAAGTTATGAGGATAAAGCCCTCCGGTGGGAGCTGGGCCTTTATAACAGTGCCATATGAGTAAGTTCATTTTCTTCTTCCCTGCTACTCCATGAAGATGCAGCAATGAAGCTTTGCCTTGAAAGCTGAGAGTAGCTCTTCACACACATCAAACCTGTCTTGATTTTGGACTTGACAGCTTCCAGAACTGTGAGAAATAAATATCTGCTGTTTACAAATTACCTAGTCTGGTTTTTGTTGTAAGAGCATGGATTAAGACCATCTGGCTTCACGAAAAGCATTTAGTCATTCCTTGCATGTATTTTGATCTCTATAAATAGTAACATACTCTGTATCTTTTTTCTTTCACAGTTATGAAGTTTTATCTTTTTTTTTAGATGATGATAGCTTCCATTATAGAACATTTTCTTTGTATCAGGTATTTTAAAACATTTTTCATAGATTTATATATTTAATTCACACAATAAAATTGTGACTTAACTAATGTAATTGTTACCATTTGTAAAATGAGAGAAAGCTCTCATCTTTTAGATGCATATGAAATTGTTAAGAGTTAAAAAGCCTTTACAGCAAGATAGCAAATATAGAGCCTACACTACCTCTAGTTTGCACTGCAGACAATTTTATGATATGCAAAAGTAATTGTGTTCTTTTGAATACTCATTGTTGAACTTTTAGGCCTTTTACATTTGCTTTTACTCCTGGGAAAAAATAACGTAATATCCTTATGTATGTTCCCTGGGGCTATTTCTCTATAATGCAATTTATAAAGTGGAATTGTTGGATCATGAGATACAATACTACAAACTCATGAAGTGATCAGGCTTATTTGACTCCTCAGAGAAATGTATAAAATCATCATTTCCTTCTCATTTTTGCCAGTCTATCACATTGGAAGGGACAAGCAAAAAATATTTTAATTTGAACCTTCATGGTTATTTTTGTGAACCTAAGCTTCCATTCATATTTATATGGGCTGTGGGAATCTTTTTCGTGTTTATTGTTGTTCTGTATTTTAAACAATTTTTTAATTTGGCTTGTCAGTATTGATATGAAGACTTCTTTAGAAAAACAATCAAATTTAAAATATTCTGGCTGGGGACACAGCTAAGTGGCACAGTACTTGCCTGGCAAGTGCAACATCCTCAGTTTGAGCTCAAGTATGGAAAAAAAAAAAAAAAAAAAAAAGGAAAAGAGAAAAAAAAGGTAGAACTATACCATTGATATATAAGTAGAATATTAGCATTAAAGATGCCAATAAAATCAGATAAATCACATAATAAGCAGGATACAAAAGCCAGTAAAAATATATATGTACAACAGTTATCATAATCAAAATCAAAACCATCCCAAATATCAAAACTAAACACTTTAAAGATTAACAAGCAAACATCTTATAGAGCATAAAAATTATGCAAACTGTAACAAGGACCAAACATATATCAAGAAATGTAACTGGGCACAA